GAAGACAGAGCACAGTCTTTGTATTCATCAGACAAAGCAAACTGAGGACAAGGATGTAGATAAAGATGGCATGATCAGTGTTTCTCCTTAGTCCATCTGAGAAATTCATTTATCTGAAAGGTGAAAAAAAATGTTTTTAAATATTTATTTTTTTAGTTTTTTAGGTGAGCACAATATCTTTATTTTTTTATTTTTATGTATTGCTGAGAATCGAACCCAGTGCCTCACGCATGCTAGACGAGCACGATAGCACTTGAGCCACATCCCCAGCCCCTGGAAAGAATTTTTTACAGAAATTGAGAATATTAGGATTGAAGTAACATTAGTCATTTGACATCTAAAGTGGATTTTGCCGTGTATCAACTTTAGGTTGCAGTTATAGAAATATAGCACATCCTGGTCAGGTGGAGGGAGATCCTGGGTTTCACTTTACAAAAATTTCCTAAATTTTTAAGTGGCATGGATGTTGAAATGAAATCCAACTGGCTGCCACTGGCCTGGCATGGCAGGGTGACTTGAACCAAGCGTAGGTGGTACAGACTGCTGAACCAATGTGAGGGATGGAGAATGTAGGAGTAAAGCCAGAATTCTGGAGCCAGCAGAATCCTTGGAACAGTGAGATAAGCTGAGAGACATTGTGTCTGTTAAGAGCCACATCAGCTAGCCAATTCAGCAGTGATGTCTCCCAGAATGTGCACAAAAAGCTCTGTTCCAAGCTCCAGATGATGACAATGCTATAAAATAAGCCAGCAGAAGACTAGGTCCTTTCTCAATGCCAGAAAAATGTTTACATAAGACACAGCCTTCCAGAAAACATTGAGAAAAGAAGCAGGAAAAGAAGTGAACTTTGCTTGATTAAGCACTGTTATCCAATAGAAACTAAAAACTTCTTATTTAAATAGTCAGGTTGGGTTAATTTTGAAGCTTGAAACTTATTTTTTTCCCTTCTGCTACCAAGGGAAAAGGACCTGTGAGATGTATCAGATTACAGTCTGTAATAAGGAGAGTAAAATATTTATGTACATCATCTGAAGTGTAGTGTAAGCCTCCTGCAAATTTGTTGAGATATCTCCTTGAATAAGTTTTGAGAAAGGAGAGAGTGGATCAGAGAACTGCCTATCATCTTTTCCTTTCTCTTCCTGTCTCCTTTCTTTTCTTTCCCTATTCCCTGATTTTTCATTGAGTGCGGGAAGTTGGAGGGAATTTGAACTTGCATCCGTAGCCCTCTTCTCTTTCTTTTAGAAGAAATTATCTAGACAGGAAAATTTCCCATGAAGTATGAAGTTACTGCAGGTTCATTAAAATCAAAGCCTTGTAGTACATACAGGACATATATGAAAGCAAAATCTGGCCCTTGCCTGTACACAGGGAACAAAGGAAATAGGCATTTATACTAATTGTTGCTCTGGATATTATCAGTGAAGAAGAGGTTGCTGAGATATTTTTGTTAATTTTCCTAGACACATGTCTGTAGACATCCCAGACCTTCAATAAATTCTCCCCTTCATTTGTTTCCCAGTATTTGCTACTTAAATTGTAAGGTCACTACTCACATTTTATTCTGTCCGACATTTATATTATTTCAATCAGGTTTTGTACCTTTTTGGAAAAACATCTATGTCTAGTTCATTCTATAAAGTTCTATGTCCTTGCAATAGTCTAGATATGTCACCAACATTGAGTAAGATTCAGTGTCAAATTCATGCTGTTCCAAAATATATATTCAAAGATGCTAACAATTATAGCACTGTTTATAGTAGTGAAAATTTTTGAACTTCCCTGGCCTAGGATAGGACCCTGAATGATTACATTCAAAGGAATCTTATGTAGGTATTCAAATTAATTATTTAAATACACCAATATTTGCTGACATAAAAATATCCATAATAGCTATATGATAGGAGATTAAAGGAGTGTGTATACTATACATTCTCCTGTATGCAAAATGATATATATTTTATTTTGTGTCCATATGCCTGAATGTAGGAGTGTTTGTGAAAATATTTTTTTTTTATTCTTAGTTGTTCAAAACATTACACAGCCCTTGACATATCATTTTTCACACATTTGATTCAAGAGGGTTATGAACTCCCATTTTACCCCGTATACAGATTGCAGAATCACATCGGTTACACATCCACTTTTTTACATACTGCCATATTAGTGTATGTTGTATTCTGCTGCCTTTCCTATCCTCTACTATGCCCCCTCCCCTCAACTCCCGTCCCATCTTCTCTCTCTACCCCATCTACTGTAATTCATTTCTCTCTCTTGTTTTTTTCCCCTTTCCCCTCACTTCCTCTTATATGTAATTTTGTATAACAATGAGGGTCTCCTTCCGTTTACATGCAATTTCCCTTCTCTCTCATTTCCCTCCCCCATCTCATCCCTGTTTAATGGTGATCTTCTTCTCATGCTCTTCCTCCCTGCTCTGTCCTTAGTTGCTCTCATTATATCAAAGAAGACATTTGGCATTTGTTTTTTAGGGATTGGCTAGCTTCACTTAGCATAATCTGCTCTAGTGCCATCCATTTCCCTGCAAATTCCATGATTGTCATTTTTTAGTGCTGAGTAATACTCCATTGTGTATAAATGCCACATTTTTTTTATCCATTCATCTATTGAAGGGCATCTGGGTTGGTTCCAAAGTCTAGCTATTGTGAATTGTGCTGCTATGAACATCGATGTGGCAGTATCCCTGTAGTACACTCTTTTAAGGTCTTTAGGGAATAGTCCGAGAAGGGCAATAGCTGGGTCAAATGGTGGTTCCATTCCCAGCTTTCCCAGGAATCTCCATACTGCTTTCCAAATTGGCCGCACCAATTTGCAGTCCCACCAGCAATGTACAAGAGTACCCTTTTCCCCACATCCTCGCCAGCACTTGTTGTTGTTTGACTTCATAATGGCTGCCAATCTTACTGGAGTGAGATGGAATCTTAGGGTGGTTTTGATTTGCATTTCTCTGACTGCTAGAGATGGTGAGCATTTTTTTCATGTACTTGTGAGCTATTGATTTTTCTATGAAGATTTTATAACATGTTACTTTGCCAAAGAAGCTCTAGTACTCATCTAGCGAATTTTTGGGGTCTTCTAAGCACGGGATCATATGATCTTCAAACAGTGATAATTTCACTTCTTACTTTTATATTTTTATTGCTTCTTTCCCCTTCTATTGCCCAATCTGTCTGGGTAGAATTTCTACTACTATATCAAATGGGAATAGTGAGAATGGACATCCTTCTCTTTTTCCAGGAATGCTTTCAGGTTTACACATTCACTATCATGATTACTTTAGTTTGTCATAGATGGCCTTTACCATGCTGATGTAAGTTCCTTCTATTCCTATTTTCTTTTGATCATGCATGGGTGCTGAATCTTGTCAAAAGCTTTCTATGTATAGAGATAACTAAGTAATTTTTATCCTTATGTAGGTCAAAATGATATCAGTTGCCTGAATTGGTTTTCTGGAACTTGGAGGTAGCTCAAATATTTTGAAACAAACACCTTTCACTCAGCCTTGCACAGTGTGTGAGCGGGGCCCCATCTGCTAGTATGGCACCACTTGAAAATTCACTAAGAAATTCATGTTTCCTAAAGTGAGCAGGTTGGGCATATGATTGGATAGCTGAAATAGAAAATATTCCACACATATAGAACATGGGGGATATTCTTCCTCTATACTTCCTCTGGCAAGCAGAGCCTTCTGACTGCAGCTGGCACTGCCCTCAGAGGTGGGGAGAGAAGCCCACAGAAGGCAGGAACTTCCCTCTCTGTCCCTGAGTTCTGTGATTTTTCTTCCTTTTCTCCCTTGTTCTCTTTGTTGTCAAGTATTGCTCACAGATTTCAAGTGATTAACAGGAGGCCCTTATAAAATAACCTCTTAACAACCTTTGAGCCTGCTTTCAGGAAAAGGCTAGTGGTAAATTCCAGGCAAGAAAGAACCAGCAAAGTTAGCTGCCCTTCCCTCTCTAACCAATGGATGGGAATATACTGGCCCAATCCACAAAGCTTTTAATCAGAGCCAGGCAAGGGCTGGAAATAGGGTAAGAGAAGTGAGGCACCTGAGATAAATATTTGAGCAAATGCTCTCAGGTTCCCTTGTCCCTCTGCTGACTCTCTTACCTCTTCTTAGTCCTACCTCAGTAGTCCTGGTTCATAGGATTCTCCTGATGTTCCCTGGGGAGGTCTAGGTGAATTCCCTTTTCTTCAAAGCATCATAAAAAGGTCAGAATTTTTCAAGTAGATTTACATTAGGAAACTGACATGGAAAGAAAGAGATAAAGAAAGGAAGGGAGGGAGAGGAAGAGGGAGAGGGAGGGGGGGCAAGAGAGAGAGAAGAAAGAAAGAAAGAAAGAAAGAAAGAAAGAAAGAAAGAAAGAAAGAAAGAAAGAAAGAAAGAAAAGACAGGTACACCTAGTGAAAACTGCTTACAAGGAAACAAGTCATAAGACATGTTAAACATAAGCCTTTCTGAGAAGTGAGTTGAAAATTGTAAAAGAAACTGAAAGTCCATTTTCAGTTATGGGAATGAGCCAGCATTTGAGGACACAGACAGATTGTGTAATGGTGGGGTTTCCAAATTCATCAATTGATACAGCCCTTACTGAGATTCTACCATGTACAGCCAGTGTGCTCTCACTGTGAAGAAATCTAAGAGGTATCAGACACAGATTATCTCCTGTGAACTCCTAGCACAGCAACAGAGAACACAGGCACCAACAAAAGCCTCAGCACAAGGGGTGAAGACAGTTCCCCCATGAGCTGTGTAGAAGCAATGTGGAATTTCCCCTCAGCCCTTTTGAGGACACTGGGATGAAACAAAGATTAAATAGGAGAAAAGGCATATGGGTTGATTATGATGTAAATTAGGAAAACCACAGCATAGGAAACAATCACAAAGTATGGTTACCCACCTGTTTAATGTAAAGCACAAACTTACATATCCCTTTTTCTATTGGGGGGGTGGGGGTGGGTGGGACAGGTAGATATTTTGGAGGGCTTATAAATTAGTATTACTTGAGAAGGTGGTCTCCAAGATGGTCTCTTAGAATTTCGAATGAGCCCAAAGGACAGAATCTTGTAAGGCAAGTCCATTCAAATGTAGTTGTATTCTCCGGTCCTCTTTTTCACATAGATAATGGGATTTCAGGGTGGAAGTGAGGCAATCATTCCTTTTGCAGCCTGGTCCTAATGCATATAAAAAGAATTCCAGAGAGGGTTTCTCCTTTTACTTGAAATTACTCTTAATGGAAAATCTTTGAAGAATCACATTTCCTAAGTCCCAACAAATCTAAGATGTTGGCAGTCACAGGAAAAGTATCATAGATTTAAATTAAACTCTACAGTATTTGACCTTAGTTGGTCCTCTCTGAAACTGTCATGGTGGCCATCCTATTTAGGGGGGCTTCATCTACAAGTCAATCCCATGTTAATGCGGGTGCTAGGAAAAATAGCTGATCAGAAGTTACCTTAGTGCACCTGCATTACTAAAGGAAACTGTCTTCCCAGACAATTGGAGTCACTTAGAGCCATAATTCCTAGCTTTATGTCAGCATCAATAGACCCTGTCAAGAGTTAGTCCCATTAATCCTTTTCACTTGACATATTTCCCAATTAGCTCCTTTTGCTTCTGTTTATTTTATACAAATTAACTACCACCCTTTGCTTTCTTGTTTATTCTGGAAGTAGTTTAAGAAGACCCTAAAGGAATTTAAAGAATGCTTGTGACCTTGCCTGCATTTCACTGCTCATTGTTAGCTACTATCTAACAAATTCATTGGAATAGCCATTATCATCCCCACAAACACAAGCAGAAACCAGCTCAGATATGAAAGTTTCTTTTTCAATCATCACACATTGCTTGAACATCGATATATTTCATTCTCTTTGCGTAAGACTAAGGATATCACATGCATTAGAGACAACCTCCCACAACAGGAAGGAAACTGGGAGGTGCCTTGACCTGAGATGAAGTTCAGTCCCCTCTCCCAGGAAAGAAGCCAGAACTGAATGCATCTGTGACTCCTCAGCGTCCCACACTTGGAGAAGAAAACAGCTCTCAACAGTGCACTTTTTTCCTGGAGCAACATGAAGACAGACTGTTGGCCTTAAGGAGACAAGTAGGTGAAAAACAAGTTGAACAATGGGGTAGACAGAGAGATACAACAGAACCAGACTTGATGATTCTGAAATCCAGATGGGAAACTGCAGTTGGAGTTCCTCAAGTAGGTTTCCGGATCTGAGGGCAATAATGGTTTCTGCTTCTGCTCCCTGGGCTCCTGGTTGTGCCCTGTGAGTCACCCTTTCTTTTTCATGAAAAATAGTAAATATTCAGAGTTGACAGTTTTGTCATTTGCTTCCTATCAGTAGAATTTGGAGGTGGGATGATAGGCTATAACAGACACTTTTCATTTTGTACTCATTGTGTCTCAGTTCAAGATGGCAGGCTGTCTGTTGTACTAATGATATGTGTCTTGGAGATCAGAAACAGGTCCTTGTTCCCTGGTGTTGAAGATTAAACATTCAAGAAATGCAGAGGCAAGTGTAGAAAGCCAGTTTTGGTTAAGAAAGTGATAGAGATAGACTTTTCCTAAGAGAAGGGGCTCCTCAGCTGGGTGTACATCTTGTTCTCCTATACACCTCAGAACCCCCTTTTATTCATTGTCTTCTCTTTCCTCTTCATATATGTTCCTGGAAGCAGGGAATTGTGGGTTAGTTGTTAGCAACCAGAGTGTCTGGAGCATGATTACAGAGGTTACAACCCATTGTTCTCTGTTTGACAAACAGCCCTCATCCTGGTTATTCATTACCTACACTGATGGCCTGACCTTCGCCCCCTGCCTCACTTTGCTAAGGAATGTGACATATACTGTCCACTCAGACTATGAGGGGCTACAGGCATATTGCTTTTGGCAAAGAAAGCATGTATATGAAGAGGGTCATCACTGTGGGCCAATTGTATACAATTATTCTCTTAACCAGGTGTTTCCATCATTCTCATCTATCTGTCCTCTTACACTAATATTCTCAAGAACTTGTGATATATTTCATTGGGGCCTTAGTCCATTGGACACAAGCCACATCCATAGATGACTTTCAGATAAACTACTGTCCTATACATTTGTCTGATGCTAGTTTTTGTAAAGAATGGTGTCCTAAAGCTTTCTCCAGAACTTCTGTCTTGATTCATACCCGTGTACCAAACTCATTCTCTTGAAAGTGTTCTTTGTGTACCAGATTACTCTGGTGTTTTGATATTTTTTAACATTTTAGTGAAAGATCATCATATCATACCTGTTACCAAAATTTCAGATCTTGTCCCTGATGACAATTAAACAATGAAGTCATGGTTTTGAGACAAAAGATAAAGAACATTTTTGCCTTCTTCCTATTTTTAAAATTGCCAGACTTCTTGTCTTACAGTTTAATTAGCAGAGACCAGAAAAGTTAATACTTATAAACATTCACAGATTAGATCATATAAGTAAGAATAATATTCATTGTTGCTGTTCTTGATATATTTCCAGTCAGGCAAATATCTCTGTAAATATAAGAAAAGAGGAAATCTCCAGTTTTTAAGAATCTATTTCAAGAGATTTTTCTTTACAACTTACATTTAAATACAACACTGCAATTTTATTATACATCATGAAAAATCAGGCCTTATGAATTCTTATGGTATACTAAGAAAACAGTGATGAAAAACCGTGAGCAGAATTTTTGCATAATGATAATGGAATAAGTGTCCATTAAATATTTTCTACATTTCCTATGTAACTCAGAAAGTAAGTTGATTTTTATTTATTTTTTTATTTTTTTAAGTCAACACTTCTATCTTTATTTTTTTTAATTTTTTTATTGGATGTTCAAAACATTACAAAGCTCTTGACATATCATATTTCATACATTAGGTTCAAGTGGGTTATGAACTCCCATTTTTACCCCAAATACAGATTGCAGAATCACATCGGTTACACATCCACATTTTTACATAATGCCATATTAGTAACTGTTGTATTCTGCTACCTTTCCTATCCTCTACTATCCCCCCTCCCCTTCCCTCCCATCTTCTCTCTCTACCCCATCTACTGTAATTCATTTCTCTCCTTGTTTATTTTCCCATTCCCCTCACAACCTCTTATATGTAATTTTGTGTAACAATGAGGGTCTCTTTCCATTTCCATGCAATTTCCCTTTTCTCTCCCTTTCCCTCCCACCTCATGTCTCTGTTTAATGTTAATCTTTTCCTCCTGCTCTTCCTCCCTGCTCTGTTCTTAGTTGCTCTCATTATATCAAAAAAGACATTTGGCATTTGTTTTTTAGGGATTGGCTAGCTTCACTTAGCATAATCTGCTCTAATGCCATCCATTTCCCTGCAAATTCCATGATTTTTTCATTTTTTAGTGCAGAGTAATACTCCATTGTGTATAAATGCCACATTTTTTTTTATCCATTAATCTACATAAGGGCATCTAGTTTGGTTCCACAGTCTAGATATTTTTCCCTAGAAAGAAATATTCCTTCACAGCTGATGATTAACTTTAGAGAACTCCACAAGGAAAAGAACAATCATCACAGCTACCATCTTATTTTCCCTCTCTGCCCCACATTGCTAAATGCCTTTTAGTCAAAGCTCAAAGCTGGGTATGGTTTCCTGAATCATTGGTTCTTTTTCTTCTCCGAGAAAAAAAAAATGTGTTACAAAATTCCCTTAGTTTATTCCGGAATACAGCTAGAATTCTTTCAAAGGAACTTCAACTAGAAAACAGGGAAAGAAACTGCGGAAGCCTGGAGACAGAAAAGTTTGCAGAACACATTCTCTCATTCTTAAACATGCTCACTCTTTGCCAGAAACTGTTTTCTGTCTTCAAAACTGAAAGTTGAATTATCTGTGGTCCCTGAGATCATAGTCAGTGGTCTAAGGGAAGCAGATAAGACCATGAAGTTTCCATTCCATGCGTGTAGTAAATGTCTAACAACTCTCAGGAGAAGAAACTCCTGGTTTGGAATTCTGTCACTGGTGGGGATCCAACCCAGGGCCTTGTGCATGCTAGGTAAGTACTCTACCACTGAGCTGTACTCCCAGCCCATAATTCCTAGTTATAGCATTTACTCATTTTCATTACGTAAAGTAGCCAACTGAAAATTACCCATTCCAACTACAGAAGAAAGTTGAGAACTTACAGGATAATTCTGATAAATCACCATTTTTAAAACCCTTTTAAATGCCTAGGCTTTCATTTTCCAGGAGAAACTTTCAGTTGTGAAGAGATGCATAGTAACACATCATTATGTAGCATGCCTTCTGTACATATATGATGGCTAAACGTGGACCCTTGAGTATAAATAATAGTACAATATAATACAATAATTTCAGTTTGACTACCTTTTGATTTTAATACCCTTTATTTAATTGGAAATGTACATGATTTCTGTTTTATTAAGGTGAATTTTACATAATATCAAATTAGCCATTTTAAATATTACAGTTCAATAGCATTTGGTACATCCACAATGTTATAGAACAAGCACCTCTTTCAAGTTTCAAACTAGTTTCGTTATCCCAAAAGACAACTCCAAGCCCATTAAGCAATTGCTTCTCCATTGTCTTTCACACTTCCCATAGATCTTGGCAGCCACCAATCTGCCCTCAGTCATTATGGATTTATATATTTTTAATATTTCTTATAAAGGGAATGATACAATATTTCACTTTTTCTGTATGGTTCCTTTCACTTATAATAACATTTTCAAGGTTCTTCCACACAATGTGGCTACATCAGAACATTCTTTTATGGTTGATTTTGTTTCATTGCATGAATGTACCACATCTTTTTTATGCATTACTTAATGAGCACTTGGATAATATTCATCCTTTTGGCTACTATGAATTGTACCACTGTGGACACTTGTGTATAAGTATTTATTTATTTTCAATTTGGGAGGTTTACACCTCTCATTAGATTTCCTAGGCCATATCATAATTTACTATTAATCTTTTTAAAGAAACTACATAACTGCTTTTTATGACAGCTGCACCATTCCACCTTTCCACCAATAATTCACTTTCTGCATGCCCTCTCCAGCATTTGTTAGTCCTTTGTTGTTAAACCTATCCTAGTGGATGTGAAATATCTAGTGTGGTATTAATTTGCATTTTCCCAATGACTAATCATATTATACATCTTTCAATGTGCTTTTTGGCCATTTGTAAATTTTCTTAGGAGAAATATCTATGCAATCATATGCCCATCTTTAAATTGGGTTCCCTGTCTTTATGGTAATGAGTTGTAAGAGTTCATTTTATATTCATTGCATTAAACCAATATTGGATATATATCAGGCAAATATATTCTTCCATCCTTTGGATTGACTTTTCATTTTTTTTTTTGATCATGTACTTTGAAGCACAAGGTTTTTTAATTTTGAAGAGTCCTCTTCCTATCTCTCACCACCCCACCCCCTCTCTTTCTGTCTTGGCTTTTGGTGTCATGTAAGAATCTACTGTTGAATCCAAGATCATAAAGATTTACCCTTGTTTTCTTGAAAGGGTTTTATGTTTTTACCTCTTATATTTATGTCTTTGATACATTTGGAGTTAATTTTTGTATATCTTGTGATGTAGGGCTCTGACTTCTTTTTTTTTTTTTTTTGCATGTGGATATTGTCTTTACATAAAGCTAAATTTTGTTTGTGTCAATTTTCTCCATTGTCTTTCTAATGTTTACTATTTTCTTCCTTCTGCGGTCTTTGAGTTCAGTTTACTCTTTGGTTTCTATTTCCTTTTTTTTTAGTATTTTGTCACAATTTGTTGATGTGATATGATAATTAGAATTGAAATTATAACTGAATTCCATCACTATATGAGGACCTAAAATTCATCGACTTATTCATGTTAATACTGAGAGTAATTTGCTCCCAAAATATCCTGGTGAGAAGAAAATTGCCTTATGTCTTTGAGGGGTCATAATAGTTTCACAGTGTCTACAATAAACCCATTGCAGGACATAACAGATAATTGAAAACAAAAGCTGAATACATTAAGTCTGTTGGTATCAAGGTTAAAGTAGTAGAATAAAGTATTCAGGTTAAGTGATGCTATTAGCACAGGGCCTTCACA